CACTCTATTGTAAATAAATAAAAATGAGTTTAAGGGCGAACTGTTGAAATCTGTAGATAACTAGTGATATTCGAGAGTAGAAAGAAATTATGCTAGGTTAGTCTGGTGGGCTAATACGCCACGCATAAACCARTTTCGGTGCTTTCATGACATGAATTTCAAAAGGCTCTGTGGCATCACTATTAATACCACTTCTAGGGGCTCATACCAAGAGGTGTTTGAATACCACTTCCAGCGTCTCATTCATGTTATGAGTTTGAACTTTTCTTGACATGTACCTGCCCAGAACGCAGCATAGACAATGGTTTTGTATATTGATCACGTTTTAGGTAGACAGCCGTATATCGGTCTTATCAACCTCGTCCACTATTTTATTGCACTCGACGCTTTTGTAATCTGTCACCCAGTTGAAATGAAGTCGCCTGTTTCTGGTGACATTCTCGACTGTTGCATTGCTTTCCAATGGCCGATATGCGAAGCGAGAAAAATTTCTTYAAGTAAATTTCAATTAATTTTCTAACTCTTCGCTATCCGCAAGAGGCAGTACTGACTGAAAGTACGCCTAAGATTTTTACCAAAATCCTTCTTATAAACTCCAACGACACCTTAAATGTTGGAGGTAAATATAAGTGATGAAGATGGCGTCAAATATTTCTGGGAGCATACTTGTCTTCTTGCAAAGTTGCTGTGCTTCTGGGTTCATCAAAAAAGTGAATCTTGTTTCCAAACCTAATATATATGTATTCTTTGCGTTCCCCAAAAGTGTTATAATTGTAGGAATGTAGTGATGTAATGCAATTTTTTAAAAAAAGTTTCCGTAAACGAGAATAATTTAAATTTGTTTACATATCTGTATTTTCTGCGAAACTTTCTCAGTAGCATAACACTGGGCAGCATTTCCAGCAGAGAAAAGATCTATATATGAGCCTAAAAGTATGCTAATTTTTTATCAGTTAGAATGGTAGCACATTTTCTTTTTCTAATACAAATAGAAAAAACTTCCATTTATTTTGCATAATTCTTATTGATGACACTAAATGAACGACTATCAAAACTCAGCACTGGCCATTTTGTATGATTTTGGTAAGAAKATGATTCCATTCTTGTTCAACTCGCTGTCAGAGCTCATCGGTTGGAGCGCTTTTCTAATTTTTTTTTGYTCGAAAATGGCGCACGGAGTTTATGAGGGATGATATGGGATACACCACCCACAGTTAGACATAATTCAACTTTTTAAGCTGCCGGATCACTGCAGCAGATATCAAGTAGAGGTCTTTGTTATTTAGAAAGCCGCGGAGTTAGTCTCTCATGCATCAGCGGATACTTCTAGAGTTAACATCTATGAGGATAGCCGAGTGGCAGCTTTAACCTCATTTCGCATACCAGCCAAAAGTGTCTTAGAAAGTAGGATAGCAGTGGAGAGCCAAAATCTTGTGATTTCACTCCTACTGGGCGCCAAATCACAACGACATCGAGGGTAATGATAAAATAGACTAAATTATCAAGAGTTGTGTATAGCTGTCACGAAGAACTTGATCAAACTTGGAAAACCCATACATTCGCCATACAASAATCTGTACAGGAGTACAGCAAGGAAAACTAAAAGGCGATGGAATGATCTATCGTGATACAAAACTGAAAAAAATTAAGTGAGAAGCGGTAGAACGGAAATATATAAAGTTCTGCTGGCACTTGATAGAAGAGCGTGTTTTCATGTTTCTATTGGAAAACTCACTGACCACAGTCTGGTGCGGCACACGTCTGTAGAATGTGGTTGATATATCGAGACGACATCAGAAAATGCCAAGAGCAAATCATCGCGGAAACAATATTACATCTCTTGTGCACTTGTGCCGCATTRGCAAGACTACGCTTCGTGCATTGGGGGTCTCACGTTATCAGACACTGTAAGATGTATTGTTAGTGAGACCACAGAGTCTGTTGAAATTCGCGTAAAGCGCAGGCATACTAAAGTATGACTACTTCTCATTGACTGCGCAATGGTACTCCATCTGGTRTCGCAAAGGACCGAAACTGGTGACTCAATGGCCTAGCAGACTAACCTTTTATAATATATATATTATTGTCAGTTTCTTGTGATTGTATTTGACATAGYGAGAACCGTACAGTAGTTTGCAATATAATCGAAATTATAGTGGATCCACAATTCCTGGGTACTATTGACGATGTTTGGTAGTGGAGAGTCGATTCGGCGCCACTAACGTATAGAACGACTTGGTGTATATTACGTCTAGATCTTGAATTAAAAGCGTCAAAATACAGTTTGTGTAAGAATTAAAGCYGCTCAAACTGACCAAGCGACATCACTTCGCTCTATAGGCTCTTTAAAAGGCGATACGCCTTTTTCAAGCCAAATTTTTTTTTTCAGCGCTGAGGCCTATTTCTGGCTCAATGTGTATGTAAATAAACAAATTGACCGCATTTGGGACGAAGTGTAAGCTGAAAAGATTCAAGTGCTGCCATTTCCTCCAGAAAAAATAATAGTTTAGTTTGGTTTATGGATCGATGGAATTATCGGTCCATCGTTCTTTAAAAAAATGCCGGTGAAATCGTAACCATCAATGACACCGTTATAACGCCATGATAACCAACTGTTTGATACCTGAAATTGAAGCTTATGATCTCGGTGACATTTGTTTTCAACAAAACGGCGCCAGTTTCCACACATCGCAACAATAAATACATTTTTTGAGAGAATACTTCGGCGAGCAGATAATTTCACATTTTGTACCGGTCGATTGGCCACCAAGAGGATATTACACACTTAGCACTTTTTCCTGTGAGAATATTTAAAGACTTAAGTTTTTGCCGACAATTCCGCTTCGATTCAGGCCTTGGTTGAACCATCATGCGTGTCATTCGCCAGTTAACGGTCAAAATGCTCGAACGAGTCGTCGAAAATTCGACTCAACGGATGAACCATCCGATACGTAGCCACGGCCAACATTTAAAAGAGATATTTTTCAAAACACAAATGCAAAATAATGCTTTTACGAACGTTAATAAACATTTCTCATTGAAATTGAAGTTTCTGTGCTTTTTTTCTTTAAAAATGTAGGGAAACTCGTGATGGATCCCCCTTTGTACTAGTAGCTATGCACCTGCTTTGAAAGTGCTTTCTAATCTTTCAATCTGCATATCATCTAAACGAGTACTTAATTGAAAATGCTAAACATTTTAATTTTATTACACTCCCATCTCACTTCCTTTATTTCGCAAGAATTATACAGTTTACAAGAGTCCATTCTAAAAATGGTATGTAAATTAAATGTATTAGATACGCATTAAGTATGATTTATTAGTATTGTAGTTATATATTATTTGCTTTAATATTAACTGGCACTTAAATTCTAAACAAATCATTAATTAAATTAGCTTGACAATTGCAGCAAACACAACACATACTTACATACATACTCGATACAGGGAGAGTAGAGGGTTAGAGAGTAGCGTTAGTGACATGCTAATTAACACACTCGACAATGTAACGGTAACATTTATTTACATAACTACCGTTATAACATGCAACGCTGTACGTATGTATGTATGTATGTATGTATATTGGCCACTATATTTATTGCATAGAATTAACTTGTGTGCGCACTCATTTACATATTTGTGCTTAAAAGCTAAGTGATAAGCTTTCGTTGTTATGCATAATGATTAGGAGGGGTTTTAGAAGAAGGCACTTAAAGCAACTAAAAATATTAGAATTATGCGCGTGTGTGTATGTGCTGGCTTAAGCGCTGCGACATGCGCGCTTTTGTTAAACGAAGAGCACCAATTGCGACACACAACCGAAAGCTTTTCGCGCTCTTGCAATGCACGAAAAATACTTTTCGTATGCATGCGTTTGTGTGTGTGTGTGTGTGTGTGTTGATTATTTCAATTGAACGTTTCGCAACATTTCAACTCAAAGCTAAAATATTTCCTGCAGTTAAATAATTCTAGTTTGGTTAATATACGTCCTTCGCTCTCGHACTACCGAACTTCCGCAAGCGACATGCAAGTCGCTCCTCAATTAYGCTGCACGTTGTCTTTTACTTGAGCTTTCGTCGTCCATCGCCGCTGCGTAAATTTGACGATAATGCTGACTTCGAGGCGCTCGTGGTGGAGGAGTGCCGCAACGAAGATTGATCGTCCTTGAGATGATCGTGTCGACGTAATGTGCGCGTAGTGGGCGTCTCCGATTTCTTATTGGTACGTGTGAGCGTGCT